GTTTCACACAAATGCATACACACGCTGCTTTCTTGTTCTTCATAGCATGTAACTCAAGCTAAAATTACATAATTTGTTCATTGCACAATTCCATCAATTAGATTTAAGTTCTCTGTTCTTCTCTTCTCCACTTCTCACTAATGCATTTGACTGGTCTTAAAATAAAAAAATTAAAATAGGCTGGGCATGGTGGCTCATGCCTGTAATCCCAGCAGTTTCGGAGGCCAAGACACAGTGATTACTTGAGATCAGGAGTTCAAGACCAGCCTAGACAACATGGTGAAACTCCATTTCTACTAAAAATACAAAAATTAGCTGGGCATGGTGGCAGTTGCCTGTAATCCCAGCTACTTGGGAGACCAAAACCCAAGAATCGATTGAACCTGAAGGCAGATATTGCATTCCAGCCTGGGTGACAGAGCCAGACTGTGCCTGAAAAATAAGGAATTAATTAATTAATTAAAAATTAAAAATACATTCTCTACCACTCTTCCTGTGCCTAGAACTTAGGAGATGTGCAATAAATGTTTGCTAATTTACACACACACACACACACACACACACACACACACACAAAGGTATTTGGCAGCAGAGAGAGATTATCATGGTGATTCTAAAAATCTGTAGCACTCATAAGAGTATAAGTTGATAAGAATTTTCTTTTTTTTTTTCCTTTTGAGACCAGAGTCTCTCTCTGTCACCTAGGCAGAGGTACGATATCGTGATGTGGGCTCACTGCAACCTCCGACTCCTGGGTTCAAGGGATTCTCTTGCCTCAGCCTCCTGAGAAGCTGGGATTACAGGTGCCCACCACCACACCCGGCTAATTTTTGTATTTTTAGTAGAGACAGAGTTTCACCATGTTGGTCAGGCTGGTCTCGAACTGCTGATCTCGTGATCTGCCCACCTGGACCTCCCAAAGTGTTGGGGTTACAGGCATGAGTGCACCCGGCTGATACAAATTTTCTAAAGAGAAATGTTACCATCTTTTTTTTTTGTACTGTTAGTAGAGATGGGGTTTTGCCAAGTAGGCCAGGCTGGTCTCAAGCTGCTGAAGTCAAGTGATCTGCCCCATGGGCCACTGAAAGTGCTGGGATTACAGTGGGAGTCACAGCATTCAGCCATCATCTATTTAAAAAAAAAAAAAAAGCTTCAGAAAGATCGTGACATTCAATTCAGGAAGTCTACTTGTAGGGCTGAATAGGAGATTCAGACAAATATTTATTTATAAAAGTGTCTTTGTAGCATTATATAGTAATGGGAAATATAAGGTTTGGTTAAATATATTATGAAGCCATAAAATAATAAATTGTTATAGCAAAAAATTGTTAGGCTGGGGGCAGTGGCTCACACCTGTAATCCCAGCACTTTAGGAGGCTGGGGAGGGCAGATCACCTCAGGTCCAGAGTTCAAAAGCAGCATGACCAACATGGAGAAACCCTGCCTCTACTAAAAATACAAAATTAGCTGGGTGTGGTGGCACATGCATGTAATCCTAGCTACTCTGGAGGCTGAGGTAGGAGAATCGCTTGAAGTGGGAGGTGGAGGTTGTGGTGAGCCGAGATTGTGCCATTGCACCCCAGCCTGGGCAACAAATCGAAACTCTATCTCAAAAAAAAAATTGTTACAGCAATTAAATGGCTATAGAAAAGGGTGTGTCATCTGTTATTAAATTTGAAAAGTAGGTAACAAACTGGCATGATCAGTTTTCCTTATACAAGGTAAAACTTTCCTGACTGGGCTCAGTGGCTCACTCCTGTGATGCCAGCAATTTGGGAGGCCAAGGCAGGCAGATGACTTGAGCTCAGGAATTTGAGACCAGCCTAGGCAACATGGTAAAAACCCATCGCTACCAAAAAAAAAAAAAAAAAAAAAAAAAATTCAATTGGGCATGGTTGCATGTGCCTATAGTCCCGGCTACTCAGGAGGCTGAAATGGGAGGATCACTTGAACTCGGGGAGGTCAAGGCTGCAGTGAGCCCAGATCGCAGCCTGCACTCCAGCCTGGGTGACAGAGTGAGACCCTGCTTCAAACAACGGCAGCAACAACAAAAACAAACAAAAGAAAGATCTGGCCTACAACTTCACCTTCCCACCCCCAACTCCAAAAACAAACAACTTTGTAAAGTGTGTACTCCAGAATGTCTAGCTTTGTTACTTCTTGGTTGTGAGATTACAGATGTTTCAGAGTTTCTTCTGTGTGCTTATCTGTTTTTTCATTTTGTTTTTGAGATAAAGTCTCACTCTCTTGCCCAGGCTGGAGTTCAATGGCATGAGTCACTGCGCCCAGACTTAGCTATGTATTTTTAAATGTCTACAATAAACTAATAAAACAACATGTTGTTTAACTTGTTTCATTTTAAAATACTGTTTAAAATTATTATAAGTAAACCAAAGTGGATTTCCTAAGGACTTGTAGCTACAGAGTATCTCAAAGCAGAAAAATTAAAATTTGCAAGTGAATTAGAATCATAAAAAGTCTGAATATTTTCTCTCTTCATTACTGTTACCCAAACATTTATCTCAAGTGGAAACATTTCTCTCTGGGCTCCAAAAAAGATTTGTAAAATTGCTACTGCCTGCCAAAAGAAATTAATATTGCAAATAATAATTAGGTTAACAATGAAAACCCTAGGGGGTAAATAAAATACCCACAATTCACAATTATCCTTGAGTGGAATCTGCAGAGGTTGGAGGTAAATGGAGAGCTCCTCTTTCAAAGTCAAATCAAATCAGTGGCATTAAGCACCACAGCATAGACAGGACCCACTGAACTAAGCTCTGAGGAAACACAAAATGTGTGACCCAAAGTCCTTGCTCCCCAGAGACAACACTAATGTAGCTGAGGAAATTCCTGTTAGAAATTGGTTTGCAGTGAGTAGGAAGGATGGTGTGAGGTGAATAGTGGGGTTGTGGATACTGTAGACTGTCATTCCCTTGATCTGAACCAGGGGTTGCAAAAACATAATCTGAAAATTGAATCAGCCCTGCAGACAAGATAAAGCATTTATAATGCTTAAAAATATATTAGAAACCACTGGTTGTGGTGGCTCACACCTGTAATCCCAGCACTTCGGGAGGCCGATGTGAACAGATCACTTGAGGTTAGGAGTTCGAGACGAGCCTGACCAACAGGGGTGAAACCCCTTCTCTACCAAAGAGCATAAAAAAATTAGCCGGGTGTGGTGGCGTGTGCCTGTAATCTCAGCTACTTGGGAGGCGGAGGCAGGAGAATTGCTTGAACCTGTGAGGTGGAGGTTGCAGTGAGCTGAGATTGCACCACTGCACTCCAGCCTGGGCAACAGAGCCAGACTCCATCTCAAAAAAAAAAAGAAAGTTAGAAACCTATTTAGCTCATTTCAGGCATAGCACAGAGCGACTGATCCAAATCACAAATTTCAGTTATTTGTTCCTACAGGTATAGCTTTTTATTATTGTATCTAAGCTACGCTTAGATTCCTACTTGAAAGTTGACTGACATTGGTCAAACAAAAAAATCCAAAGAATACTGATTTTTAATGACAAATCTGAAAGTGCCGTGCTATTATTTATTTATTTATTTATTTATTTATTTATATTGAGGCAGGGTCTCTTTCTGTCACTCAGGCTGGAGTGCAGTGGTATGATCATGGCTCACCACAGCCTCCATCGCCTAGGCTCAAGTCATCCTCCAACCTTAGCTGCTCATGTAGCTGGAACCAAAGGTGCACACCACCATGTCCAGCTAATTTTTTGATATTTTTGTAAGAGCAGGTTATCACTCTTGCCTGGGCTGGTCTTGAACGCCTGAGCTCGAGATCCTCCCACCTCAGCCACCAAAAGTGCTGGGATTATAGGCGTGAGTCACCACGTCCAGCCTACTAAATTTTAATAACAGTAACTTCTGCAATTCTCAGGAAATAGCTGCTAGGTAGGATTTCCTCCTAGGCCACTTTTCTCTCCTCTCCTCTCCCCTCCACTACCCTTTCCTCTTTTTTCTTTCCTTTGTCAGAATGAGTCTTGCTCTGTTGCCCAGGTTGGAGTACACTGGGGAGATCTCAGCTTTCTGCAACCTCCATCTCCCAGGTTCAAGGGATTCTCCTACCTCAGCCTCCCAAGTAGCTGGGATTACAGGCATGGACCAACACACCCGGCTTTTTTTGGATTTTTTGTGGAGATAGGGTTTCACCGTATTGGTCAAGCTGGTCCCTAACTCCTGACCTCAAGTAATCTGCAGGCCTTGGCCTCATAAAGTGCTATTTTACAGGTGCGAGCCACAGTACCTGACCTCTAGGCCACATTCTTAAAGCTTTGTCCTGCCACCATTTATCTGCCAGGAACAAAAATAAAGAAACTAACACAAGTAAGCCAACATCAAGGAGGAAAAAAAAGCAAAACAAATTAAGATTCTATCATGCTGGAAAGGTAGGTATAGAGAAATTCCCCTAGCACCCTAATGGCCAGGATATCGAATTTCCTTTATCCTGAAGACAGTCGGGAGTCTTGGATATGGAGAGAGACTAGAAATTTAAAATCAGTCTCTAAATTTGAGAAACAAGGCTGAGTGCTGTGGCTCATGCCTGGAATCCCAGCACTTTGGAAGGCCGAGGTGAGCAGATCACTTGAGGTCTGCAGTTTGAGAGCAGCCTGGCCAACATGCTGAAACTCTGTCTCTACTAAAAATACAGAAATTAGCTGGGCATGGTGGTGGGTATCTGTAATCCCAGCTACTCGAGAAGCTGAAGCAGGAGAATCTCTTGAACTCAGGAGGCGGAGTTTGCAATGAGCCGAGATGGCACCACTGCACTCCAGCCTGGGCAGCAGAGTAAGAGTCCATCACAGAAACAAAATCTACTGATATAAGTTAATTTCGAAGATCATTCTCCACACTTGGAGCATGAGACTATGCCTCTCAGCAATTTTGGTCAGTCTCCAGATTAGTAACTGTGACTTGCCACCCTGGCTGATGGACTGGCAGGAAGGAGTATGTCGTATCAGAGATTGCCACAGACACTCAGGGCAATGTGATTTGTCACTTAAAGAGGGAGGCAGCTCAAGAGCATCTCATCCTCCGGCTGCTGAGTCATCCTGCTCTGGCAGTTATTTAAACAGAAGCCTCCAGGAGACATATAATCAACACTGCACTCAGACAATGCCCAGACCTCCAGAAATCATGTGTCAAGCTCAGATTGCCTTAGACAGGTGCAATTCGAAAACAGCTTTCATCTTTTTTTCTGTCATGTTGTTACACTATGGATTCTGACTTCTGGCTCCTTTTCTCACAAGAAGCTCACCCAGCCATCACTCTTACAAGACCTTGGCACCAGAGACCACCAATTCCTCTTTGAGGTTCTCTAACAGCAACAGCAGTATTTCTGACTTGACTTTCTTGTATTTCTCTCACGTTAAAATTGGTTGAGCATCTACCATGGGCTACATGTGAGCTACAGGTAAGTTTGGCTATAGGATGAATAAGACCCACTCCTTATCTTCAGGAGCTTGTCTGGTAGAAGAGTCTGTCAAGTAATCAGGAAACCCTGATACACCATGTGATAGCTCTAAGACAGGTATATACAAGACGATGCTCTGGCTCTTAGCTGTTTGGGGAGTACCTTGTCTGAAAGCTGTCACCCTGTTTATATGCCATTTGGGAGGAACTGGAGGGATGTGGGAGGCATCAAAGGGATATGGGAGGATGGACATTTTAGAAGGGTTTTTCAAATCTGACGATATATTCACATTTCCACCTGTCTGCCAGCCCTTGTCCAGTTTGACCTGGGCACTTACTGCTGGTCTGGCGGCGAGTAGTGTTGATGGTTCTTTTTCCTGCCCATCCTTGAGGTGCTCCCTTCAATATGTCAAATGAGGACTCCTGTTACATTTGGCTGTCATCTGTCAGCCACAACTGTCCAACCCAGAAGAGCTGGCCTTGGCTTTAGAGCCTGCATCCTGGCTTGCCTTCTTTACTACTTTATTAAGGAATCTGACTTCCTGTTTGGTATCCCATGTGCTCCAGGTGCTGTTGATGAACCTGCTAAAGGACCTGAATGTGACTGACGTCTTTGGAAGGATGAGACTTAGTGTGCCCGTACAGTTGTGTCTAAATGCTGTCCTTATCTCCCAAAGGAAAGGTATTGTAAATAAAGAGAAAGGTCAGAGGCTTATTTTAAACACTAAATATGAGCTAGGAGCTGTCCTAGACACTATGTAAAAGCTTTATTTAGTTCTCACTGTAATGTTGGCCTTACATTAGCAGCCCATTTTTTAGACAGAGGAAATTATGGCTCAGAGAGGTTAAGAGACTTATTGAAGGTCACACAGCTCCACAAATGTTGTGTAGATTGAATGTGTACATGGGTCTATGTGACTTTGAATCTTGTTTTCTTTACATTATTGGAATATTTCCCAGAAGGAAAATGAAATATTAACATGGCAATACAATTTCTTATTCCAGTCTGATTACTGGGTCTTACAAGAGTGTTATAGGATGCATAGCCTGAGTCTCTGAAGCTTTGTTCTGAAGCATCCTATCAATCTGAACAAATTAGTATGCAAGGAAGCCACAAATATATACTAAAATCTAATTCATCAGAGGAAAATTTGGTTAAATATATTTACATTCCCAGAACTATTAATATCGAAGAATAAAACAGAGTGGGAAAGAGACGAAGAGAAAATACGCCTGTTTTTATGACTTGTTGATATCTATGGGGTTTTTACTTAAGCCTCAAAACAATTTACAGCATTGCCAGCAGCATTCAGTACATTCAGAACAGGATCATTTCACCCGCAGCTGAACAAGGGCCATGCCTGGGACAGACAGAGCACGGCCTTCCAGCAGACATGCCAAGGAGCAAGCCAGGGTCAGTGAGTGAAGAGGAGGGCAGGCCCATTTGAAGGAACACAGTTTATGTAAGTGTGATCTAACTGCTTTCACTGAAAATGGGTCAGACTCCAGTTGAGAAAACCAGGGGTCTCAATGACTTCAGCAAAATCACTCCCGCGTTTCTTTCAGTCACCTCCGAGAATATGGCCCTGTGACGACATAATGACGTTTGGATTGATTTCAGTTGGTCATGTTTTCCCCTCCTTTCTTGCTTCCCCATAGTTGATTTGCTCATTTGTTTTTCATTTTGCTTAAATACACTAAACTAAACAGGATACATTATATGACAGTCCGTGATAAATTTACCACTGGGAATAGGGAAAAAGTATGGGATAAAGAAATAGGTCTTTTTCGCCTCTCACAGCTGTGATTCAGTTCTGACTCAAAAGGAAGTGTGCCACCTACTGAATCACAGAAACCACTTCCTGTGGCTGTTTGGTTTATTCTGGAGGAGCATCAGGCCAAATGCTGCCCTGCCCTGACCCTGACGGGCTCTTCAGAGCCAAGGCATTCACAGCTTGAGGTGGTTTGGCCTCAGACTCTTGAGAACATTGCATATTAAATTACAAGTGTTTCGTTTCCTAGCAAGGAGTCTTTAGCAACATGAAAACGAACATGTGTTATTTGCAAACCAAGTGTATCATTACTGAACCCGAATATCCTTACTTTCTCGTAAGGTATGTATTCCGGATGACCAGTCTTAAGATCTGAATGTACACTGGCTCTGTTTTTACTGAGGACAACATGGACAGTCTGCAGGGTGGCATTAACCAGCTGAGGGAGTTCAAGAGCACCCTTTAATCAGTGAAGCAACACTGAACTTGTATTCACTCACTCCACGTATTTTGGGGCATGTACTTATTGCCATGTGCCGAGCTAGGTAGGGGTAGAGGATACAGTGGTAAACAAGACCCCTCAGCTCCTGCTCATGGCTCATGTGTTCTACACAGTAAGGTAATTACGCTCTGTTCCCCGGGGCAGGGGCCTTCTGTTCACCATGCAGCCCCAGCATCTAGCACTTGGCCTTGCATAAAAAAACCTCTAAACCAAGCTTGTTCAACCCAAGGCCACGGGCTGCATGTGGCCCAGGATGGCTTTGAATGCTGCCCAACACAAATTTGTAAAGTTTCTTAAAACATTATAAGATGTGTGTGTGTGTGTTAGTTCATCAGCTATCATTAGTGTTTGTATATTTTCCGTGTGGCCCAAGACAATTCTTCTTCCTGTGTGGCCCAGGGAAGCCAAAAGTGTGGACATCCCTGCTCTAAATACTTGTTTATTGAATGGATACATGAAAAGAAAGAAGGAAGGAGGGAGGAGAGAAGAGAGGGAAGAAGGGAGAAAGGAAGGGAAGAAAGAAGGAGAGAAACGAAGAGAAGTTACAGCTGGCGCGGTGGCTCAAGCCTGTAATCCCAGCACTTTGGGAGGCCAAGGTGGGCTGATCACCTGAGGTCAGGAGTTCGAGACCAGCCTAGCCAACATGGTGAAACCCCATCTCTACTAAAAACACAAAAATCAGCTGGGTGTGGCGGCACATGCCTGTAATCCTAGCTACCTGGGAGGCTGAGGCAGGAGAATCTCTAGAACCCAAGAAACAGAGGCTGCAGTGAGCTGAGATGGGGCCACTGAACACCAGTCTAGGCGACAGAGTGTGATTCTGTCTCAAAAAGAAAAAAAAAAAGAAAGAAGTTACCATTATTATTATTTTTTTGTATTTGCAAGTGAATAAAAAAGCACCAAGGTATTTGTTTCCTTCTGTAATTAGATTTTCAAATAGACTAAAAGTTTCTGCTCTTAGGTGGGTCTGGCAACTCTCTAGTACCTCAGGACACATGTGGTCTCTTGGTTTTGTTTTTTTTTTAATGTTGTTGTTGTCGATTTTATTTTAAAACAATTTTTTGTAGATGAATATGCTTACATATGTTTGGGTTTTTGTTTTTGCTTTTTTTTTTTTAGAAACAGGGTTTTCCCATGTTGGTCAGGCTGGTCTTGAACACCCGAACTCAGGTGATCTGCCTGCCTTGGCCTCCCAAAGTGCTAGAATTACAGGTGTGAGCCACCGCACCCAGCCATTTGGGTTTTTTTGAGACAGGGTCTTGCTCTGTTGCTCAGGCTGGAGAGCAGTGGCATGATCACAGCTCACTATAGCCTTGACTTCCCAGGCTAGGGACTATAGGTGTGCACTGGGGTGCACCACCACACCCAGCTAATTTTATTTTTGTAGATACTCATTCTTTTGGCCGGACTGGTCTTGAAATCCTGGACTCAAGCAATTCTCCCACTTTGTCATCTTAAAGCCTAGTGAGCACCGCACCCTGCCCGCATGTGGTCTCTTAACCAGAGGAGGCCTCTCTGAACTAGGCAGAGGACCTAAGAATTGATTCTGAGAGTAAAAGGCTCTTTGTTCTCCTCAGAATAGATCATAATCCCTAATGATAGAGCATCTACTACTCTAACTTAGGTTGCACCTGATAAGGCCAGCAATTTTTCTAAGGTATGACCAATGGCTAGGCATTTAATGATATAATTCTATGGCTCAGTGTATCTCAGCCTTTCTAAACCCTGCTCTTCTTTTGACAGCTGTAAAAATCTTAAACTGACCTCCAGTTGAAATCCTCTGACAAGAAGGTATTGTCAGTCGGGGCGGTGGCTCACTCCTATAATCCCAGCATTTTGGGAGGCTGAGGTGGGAGGATCACTTGAGGTTGGGAGTTCGAGACCAGCCTGGCCAACACAGTGAAACCTCATCTTTACTAAAAATACAAAAATTAGCCAGGCATGGTGTCCTGTGCCTGTAATCCCAGCTACTCAGGAGGCTGAGGCAGGAGAATCACTTGAATCTGGCAGGGCAGAGGTTTTAGTGAGTCAAGACTGTGCCACTGCATTCCAGCTTGGGTGACAGAGCAAGACTCGGTCTCAAAAAAAGAAAAAAAAAAAATGAAGAAAAAGAAGAAATCCCAATCTCTTCTTTTATGTAGATTCTTCCTCACTTGAATAATACTTTTCTTCCCCAGTATCGTCCAAATTATCCCAGAGTCAGCCCCTGTTTTTGTAAAGATCTATGTAACCTCCTCTAAGTTCTCCTCGACTATCATTTCATTTGGCTCAGCAAAGGGCAGGAAGCTAGATTCTAACTGATATTTTGAGGCTGGGCACAGTGGCTAATACCTATAATCACAGTACTTTGGGAGGCCGAGGTGGGTGATTCACCTGTGGTCAGGAGTTCAAGACCAGCCTGGGCAACATGGTGAAATCTCATCTCTAATAAAAATACAAAAAGTACAAAAATTAGCCACCTGTGGTGGCATGCACCTGTAATCCCATCTACTCGGGGGGCTGAGGCAGGAGAATTGCTTGAACCTGGGAGGCGGAGGTTGCAGTGAGCCGAGATCGTGTAGCTGCACTCCGGCCTGGGTGACAAGGCCAAACTCCATCTCAAAAACAAACAAAAAACCCTGATACTTTCAAAATTGAGGCGATTATAACAGTTGTTTAGTCAAGAATTATGATAGCAATAATAGCAAGAAAATAAATTGGTTCACAAGTGAGTCTCAGAAGCCCAGTGACTTTTATTTTTTTATTTTTTAAACTTTTATTTTAGAATCAGGGGATACCTATACAGCATTGTTACCAGGGTATATTGCATGATGCTGAGGTTGGAGTACGCATGAATCAAGTCTGTCATCCATGTAGTGAGTATGGTACCCAACAGATAGCTTTTTTTCAACCCTTACCTAACCCCCTTCCCCACTCTTATATTTCCCAGTGTCTACTGTTCCCATTTTTATGACTGTGCCAACAATATTTTTTCTTTTGTCTTTAAATAGAGATGGGGTCTCACTGTGTTTCCCAGGTTGGTCTCAAACTCCTGACTTCAAGTGATCTTTGCACCTTAGCTTCCCAAAGTGCTAGGATTACAGGTGTGAGTCATTGCACCTGGCCCGTGCCAATAATATTTGAAGCCCTTATCTGCATGTACAAGTTTGCTACTGGTTTTGTTTTGCTCATTACTGTATCCCAAGCATCTATACCTGGCATATAGTACCAGTATATAGTAGGTGCTTAAGAAATATTTACTGAATAAATAAATTAGTTTGAGAGTTAACATTTCAAGTACAACAAAATACCATTCAATTAATTTTCTTTTTCTACTTTTTTCTTTTAAGAGAGACAAATAGTTGCTCATGCATCAGCAGGAAAGGATATAATTTGCTGTGTTTAAATTTTTATGATGTTACTTTAGGT